TTCCATCGGCAAAGATTCTTTTCACAGTCTCCCTCCCAATGTACAGTCTATGATAGACATGGAAGTCTATAATAGAATTTTGGGCTAAATATGCATTCAACTGCCTGGGATACGAGCGTATGGCGCATTGAGTTGCAGCGACCATGAACGTTTCTCCTTCTGACGCAAACTGTACACTCCACCCACCCTTCCCTCCTCCCCCCCTCACAGGGCGGTCCTTGCCATATGCGAGGAGATCGGCTTGGCAGCTCTACAAATGTAACAACGAGAGCGGGTGGAGATGGGGCTGAGCGGGGATGATGTACGGGTCCCGTTTGGCCGCGCTGCCCTCAAGAACAGCTCCTACATCGATACCAAGGTCTTGCAGACAGACAAGTACTCAGCCAAAGAGAATATTCTCAAGGAGGGGGATTGGCAGACAATATGGCCATGGTTAGGCATGCGGCTGCCCGTGTGGAGTATGAACACGGCACCTGCGTACCACTACCCTATGCCCGTCCCCGTGCACTTTAGAGCATAGGCGGTGCACAACTGCGCCTGCGGACCACGTTCACTTCCCACCTGGCAGGGAACAGGATCCTCACAGGAGATGAGTGTGCACTTTGCCTTTAGGTGTCTGACCGTTAAGAGTGTGCAACTATCATCCGACTTCCTGAGTAGAAAAGATCCTTCGCGAGTGAACTATTCAGCTTACCGGTAGAACAAGTGTAGCACCTGTTCTGTACAATAAAAATTAGATTAAAACCAAATAAGCATAAACAATCCGGCAATAGGCAGCAGCGGAAGGCCTCTATGTCCAGAGGTAACGAAGAAGTTTGCTCTGATTCTGCATACAAAAATTACTTTATTAGTGAAGCATGAGAACTGAAATGAATTAACAAACTCAGTACAGACCAGTATATATCGCATAAGCAAGAAAAATAATAGCGTACAATTAAACATGAACATAAAAATACAGCCGTGAATAATGCAAATACATGCTTTCTATCTGGAACTGAACAGTACAAAATTCGAAGAATCCGGCCCAGGAGAAGTGAAACATCCAAAAGTATTAGCCGGCCCTTGTCTTAATGTGCGATTCACCATTCGTGTATACAGGTAAACTCACACTGTAACCTTTCGAGGACACCTCGAGTTCTTCATTAAGTCCATGAAGTCCAACGAACAATTTGTAGATCCAGGCGCCGAGAACGGCGCCAATCAGCGGACCAACTATTGGAATCCAGAAATAGAATCCGTAGGCGCTGAAATTCTCGATTACTACAGCTAGAGATTATTTCGTTTTCTCTCTACTTTTTGAATTTTTTCTATTCTGTGCGACTACTTGTACCGCTGGTCAGTTAGGACCCATCTTTAGTAAGTGGTCGAGGATTACCTCCGCCCTAAGAGCCAACGGGTAGCCCATTGGCTCTGCGCTGCGGTGTGGGGGAGGGGGTCGAAGCGCCTGCCTGATACCAGATCCGCAGAGGAGTCCTTTTGGCTCGCTCAAAATCGAGGATCATGGCATGCACCTACTTGTAAATATGATAGCAGTTGCTTAAGGCCGCAAGAAATCAATCCTAAAAATCATCAAAAGAATTCCGAATTCTTGGCGAATAACTTGACATCAGGCGGGACACGAACCGGCACCTCACATTTCCCGGGTGAGTGCGCTACCCTTTCCACCACCAAGGCCTCGTCAGCTCAATGTTTTGCGTGCCGTAGCCATAGAACTTCAGGGTTGTTGTCGTGGAGTTCCTGCCAACTTAATAGAGGAAAACTCAACTACTCAAAGCCGCAAATTCATTCCAGAAGGATCTACCCTGAGGGGTTTAAAGACAAACTGTGCATGAATGTGCGAGGGGGGAATGAGGCCGTTTCCTTGTTTTTTTGATAAGAAATGTGGCGAGCGGGAAAGGGAACGGGATGGTATAGTGATACCCAAATGCCGTTTTCATACCCCGCTCTCGCTGCCGCACGGCCAGCCGCACGCCTAACCATAGCCAAATGCGCTACTTGCTGCACTCTCTCACTTCTAGTTGTTCTCTACCACTGTTTCGTGTTTCGTTGCAGTAACTTGTACCGATGCAAGCGCTGCACTCGAGGGTAGCGCGGGTGTATGGAAATGGCACCCGGTATCACTGCCCTTCGGTCCCGTTCCCGTGCACTTTTGACCGTAGAAAGTGGCATGGTATGCGGCTGCGGGACTCGCCCGCACATTCGAACTCGGGATGAGTGTACTGTCTGTCTTCGATCGAACTGACCTCTAAGCAGGGCACGCCATCGCGTTGTGATCATTTTCTGAAAATTACGACCCCCTAATTCCATACTAAAATACGACCCCCTTTTTGGGAGTTGGTACGACCCCCCCCTCCAGCCCCTCCCTGTGTCCTTCCTCATCGAACCGTCAGAATTAAACTATCATTTTCAAGTGTCGGAAATAGTAGTGCGTCCGTGAACTGACCAAATACGACCCCCCTCCCTCGCGGTCAAATACGACCCCCCCCCTTGTGATGATCACAACGATGGCGTACCCTGCCTCTAAGTGGTGGAATGAAGCAGTAGGTGTCTTTCAACTGAAAGTTACGGTCAGCATGTTATGCTGGATGATATTTTCAGTGGAGATGCTATACAAGTTCTATCGGTGCAAATTGTTCGAGAACTGCGACAAATTTTGTCAATGCTCATGTGACTGGCAAACCAGGTTTCGCTTTCAGGTGAAGCGAGCCCACCAGGTGCTTTTTTCACAATCTTCCGCACATTTTGTAATCAGCTGGCATGGCGGAAGATTTGAATTACGTTTCAATGTGGAATCGACCGGGACTGGTAGCTGGCTTGTCAAAGTACAGATGTGTTCTATCAAACTTGTTCTCACAAAGCTAATTCCTCAATTATCTTGTCTAGCGATATCTCAGGAATTTTAATTAACACCACATGATGTAGCGTGTTTAGCAATCGTTCATAAAAAGTAAAGCAAACCCTGTAATCTTCACTTCCGTCCTATGAAAAAGAAGTAAAATTTAAGAGGAACAACTTTTCTCCTTGCGCTTAATTGAGTCTTTTTTCCTCTTGCAGCTGCGCGAAGGGCTAGCGATAGCGATCCCTAAGTTTTTGTGAGATGTATGATCAGTGACATTTCAAGACCATTTCTCCAGTCCCGGTACCTTCAAAAAAGATTGCTTTGACGTTTTACACGATGAGATCAATTCTCGCCAATTTTCGTTGTTTTACAAGGTCAGATCAATTCTCTTTCTCTCCTCCACAGCTTATCTTTCCTTGTTCGCGAATCTTGAACACATTGATGGGAGAAATTGGATCATCTGAAAATTGGGTCAATTCACAACTGCTTTATTTCTTTGCTTGTGATCGTTTATCAGTAGAAATCAAAAGTTCTTATTCATTCCTGCGTACTGTAGGGGTCTACGATATTCGTACAGTAATCGGAGCCGTATGGCGCCAAATTGGCACCGAATGGCACCGAACGGCGCCATGGCTGGAAATGAATGTCACTTTCGTGATCAGGGCACCGAATAGCCCCAGCAAGCAAGTTTACGTTGGAAAAGTCGTGGCGCCGGACTGGCGCTCAGTGGCGCCAAATTGGCACCTAATGGCGCCAAATGGCGCCACGGCTAGAAATGAATGTCACTTTCGTGAACAGGGCACTGAATAGCCCCAGTAAGCAAGTTTATACAGATGTTGTTGAGAAAAGTTGTGGCGCTAAGGTGTCGCCAAGTGGCGCCAAATGGCGCCGGCCAAAACCCAATGTCGTAGAATATGAGCATACCCTCGGATACAGCTCGGCGAGCTGATTCTAATCATATATGGGTATCTATACAAAAAGTCAACAGGAACAGCTCTATAACGAAAAAAAACGCGGATTAGCGTTCTTTTTCGTAATTTTTGGAACAATTACGAAAAAAGTACTGTATCTGAGGAACCCGTGGGCTAGATCTCGGATCGGATCCTGCATGGAGCAGAAAACTTGCGACCTGTGACCATTCACGGACCAGCCGAGCCTTTCATAGTTCTAGGGCAGGACGAGTATCAAACTCTTTTTGGGAGGACAAAAATACTGAGTTGTACTTCGGCTGCCCCCTCCCCTACCCCCCCCCCAGATCCCTCCCCCAGTCACTGTTGCCCATCTTACATTCAAGGGATTCTACGACTCTATGGACCTATAACGCGTGGCGCTCCCCAATACGATACTTTAACCCAAGAGCTTGATCCTTCGAGATGTTTTGGTTCCACTGATGACGAAGAACCCGTCCTCTCAAACGTGTTCAAAAGACATAAGTTCAAAAAGCACGCGTTTACCACCATATTATGCTAATTTCCACATGGTGATATACTGGAATTCCTGGGCACTCTTCGAGACCTATTCTCGGCCCACAGTTCGCGCACATTTCGCTGGGTCAGCAGGGAAACAAAGAGCAGATAAATTCTCAGAAATCATGAGCTTAGCGAAGCTACGATAATAAAACCGACCCCTTAGGAATCGAGGAAACTAAAGTTTGCGGTTTCTTCTCCCTATGAACAATTATTCGTTGTATAAATGATAATCGCAACCAAGGTAATTAACTGATCTATGATCATAAAACTGCAGTCGCATCAGAGAGAATGACGTTCACTACAAATTCTTCGTTTCGATGTTTTCGATTTTCATTAGAACTGGATTTCTTAAAGGCACAGTTCGCGACCGCAAATTGCGGGAAACGGAACTCAAATAGGCACAAAAAAGTGCTAAGTATCTGATTAGCGGAGAAAAGCAGCAGAAAAAGCAGTCCGAAATGTTATAGAGAAAGATAACATAGTGGCTACTAGCTAGTAGCTAGCAGCCGGTGAGGGTCGGCATGGGCCTAAGGGGTGTCCATGGGCCTAATTAGTCAGCTTCTAGCGGAGTTCTTGCCGTTTTTCACATTTTGAAAGTAGCGCAGCCTCAAAAATCGCCTTCCGGATCGTCCGACACATTTGAGAGGTCATAGCCTTATTTTATCGCGGAATGTGCCTTTAATTAACAGTGATTAGGCAGGAACAATTGATACCAACCTGAACACCTGCCATCCATAACCAGCACATAGGGTGAATAGCCGTGGTCCAAGATCTCTAGCTGGATTGATGGCGAAACCGCCATTGGCACCGAATGTCATGGCGACCTGAAATAGTTGAGCTTTACTCAGATATGTCGAATTCTTCAATCGATAAGTCGTCCACCATGGTCATGATTGATCCAGCCAGTGGCGGCACGAAACCAGCAGGAATTCTGTGCCGTTTGTCCGTTATTAGACAGATGAGACCAGCGAGAATTGCTGTGCCAATGATCTGCAAGGCAACAAAGAGCGATTTCGTTGTAATAACTGGTAATGTATATAGTAAACTATTCAATTTTCGAACGAGTAGAGCGCTATGGGCTTTGGAGGGCCATCCTCGAGAGAACCTAATCGGATAACTTGCTGACGCGATGAAACCGCTTCATGGTGTCTAGGGGAGGGTACAGCAAGACAGGGGAGGGGCAGCTTCAGGAGGAGCGGGGTTATAGCACATATAAAAAGGAAAAACCGCGGAGCATCAACAACCGGGAAAACTTTCGCCCAGCGCCGCAAATTTCTCTCGACGGCGAATACGACTCCCCCTCTTTCCCCAAAACGAGCAAATACGACCCACCCCTCCCCTTATACCGTCCGTAAAACCAAAAAATCAACTATCAAAAAAATTTTCTCAGACCAGATGCAATCCCCCTAGCCGCGGCGAGTGAATACGACTCCTCCACCCTGCTGGGGAGTCTTTACCGATTTACAAGGTCTTCGTCAACGTCCGGATAGTGCCCTAGCACTATCCTGACGTTGACGAAGACCTTGTAAAAACGGAGCGGTGTCTTGGTGAGAGCGTGCAGGCGAACCGACATTATGTGACTGTACCATTACGGAGAACGGTCCCTCCCGAGACAATTGGCGCCTTGAGTGCACAGCTCTCTCTCTCTCTCTCTCTCTTTCTCAACGAAGCTTGCTCCGAGACAGAAGCCGAGGCCATGTCAGCCCCACATGAAGCACTAATCGCCGCTTCGAAGACTTCAGGTCTTTATCACTGTCTGTGTGTTGGTGAGTAGAAGCCTCACTTAGGCTGCGTTTATACTTTGCGGCAGCGTAGCGTAGCGCTTCCAGCGTACGCCAGCGGCAGTGCCGGGGAGAGGATGCATATCGATCTAGCGTTCCCAGCGTCACCAGCGTTTCTCCAGCGTTTTTTATTTCTCCAGCGTTTCACCAGCGTTTTGCTAGCGTTTGCAGCGGCAGGGGAGTAGAGACTATGGGAGAGCTGGAGGGTACAAAACACGCGTCTCTCACTCGCCCTCAGTCTCTACAATACACATCGATTCCGCGTCTCTGACGGCCACATAGTCTCTACAATACACATCGATTGCGCGTCTCTTACGGCCACATAGTCTCTACTCCCCTGCCGCTGCAAACGCCAGCAAAACGCTGGTGAAACGCTGGAGAAACGCTGGCGTACGCTAGCGTTACGCTGGTGACGCTGGGAGCGCTAGATCGATATCCATCCTCCCGACACTGCAGCTGGCGTACGCTGGAAGGCTACGCTGCAGCAAAGTATAAACGCAGCCTAATTTCAGGCCTGGGTGCGATATTCATGAAAAAAGGGCTTATGCTTCAAAGATTTCCTCACTTTCCAAGAGAGATTGTTGAAACGATGTTCTCCTCGAATTCGCATTGAAAAGTACTGTATGATAGAATAAAGAGTAGTTAAATGCGGGATTCACGTATGGGAAGTTCAAGGGGTGCATACGAAAAACTGAGGATTTCAGTACGCAATCGAAAACCGAAGCATCGTGCTGTGAGACATCCTAGCGCTTTTAACTACTGCATTTATAGCGCAGAAGAATGCGTCACTTGAAAGAACCATTTTAGTCCTACTGGCAGATCTGGGTCTTCTAACGTGCCTCCCTCCCATACCTCTTCATCATCTCACACAGAAAGTAGAAGCGCACCGGTTAGGAAGACACATTGATGACTTAGTCAATAGGCCTAGGACGAAATGTGCTTTGTGCAATCTATAGCCCAGGTTACCTTATGAACGATAAAGACACCTGATCGAGAAGGCTGCCCCATACGCTCATGTATGGACTGGGGAATGTGGTGAATAGACCAGCAGTGCCTTGTGTTCCAACCACCTGACGATTGCCACCGTCGAGCTTCCATAGGTCATCTGAAAAGGTTCCGTGATTACGAATAGAGAGGTTACAGGATCATAAAAACTCTAAGCTTCTTCAAACGTTCAATATTGTCAAAGGATTATATACAAGGGGAAAAAGAGAGTGGATAATTAGAGAACCCGCGTAAAGTACAGGACACCTAAAAAACTCTTAATAGTTCATATTAACCAATTCATTTTCTTTGAATAGGCTGATGCGATTGCTCCGAATTCAGGGTCCAAGACGTCTTTATCAGCAAGGTTGCACGGACGTGCGTGACAGCTTAGGCGAAAGTTAAAACGCATCAGCAATTTTGACTCTTGATTGAACACTCTGACCTCCTGACTGATTTTTGAACAGTTTCTATTCAGTCGAATCATTAGTAGATAGGACTGAAGGAAAAAAAGACCAGAAGCGAGAACAGACATCAGCAGCGCTCGAGGCGAGGGAGCTGACTAAGCTCAAAAAAATAAGACATTTCTGTGGAGGCGCCTGAACAGCACACTCTTTGATGAGTCCACATCTCAGGGCAATAGGGTGAGGAGGGTGGAGGGGTTTATCGTCCTGGAAACGGCTCCCATTTTTTTACCACTTTTCCCAATTTTTTCGGAACTTCCCGAAAATTTTCCTACTTTTTCTCCAAAATTATCAAAATCATGCTGTGGAGCGGGTGAGCACGCATTTGAAAAAGAAAAAAAAACGCGAAAGGTCAGCAACGAGGGAACATTTCCCCCAACGCCGCGAATGTCTCCCGGAAGACAAAGGACAAATACCCCTCTCCCAACAACAAGCAAATAAGATCCCACTCCTTATAGCATCCGTAAAGCAAGAAAAATCGACTATCAAATAAATTCTTCCTCAGACCAAATAAGACCCCCTCTTCTCAGTGACCAACCCCCCTCTGTTGGGGATTCCTCGACGATGATGTGCCTTGTCTCACCACTCGTGGAAAATGCCCCAACCCCATAAATGAGCGAGATACGAGAAAGCAAAAATCAGCCACCATACATCCGAAAGAAGGTCTACAGAAAGTTTTGACATGAAGAAATTGGAAACGAGCACATGCAAACATTATATATGATCATGGTGAACTACGAATGGCCTCTTATTATATGTGTACTAATGAGTAAAGGGAATGAATACCCCTAGCTCCCTCGGATAACTGGTTCAGGCTCCTGCATTGTTGAGTATCTTCTTTTACACATTGAATGCCATACTACATTTTATCTTTGCTTATACTAGCTCCAACGTCACTGTGGTGACAAACTGTCTTTTTTTCTACAAAACAGTACTTTTTGAATTTTTTTCTTTTCTCAGTTGCAATATGCAATTTATGCCTGAAAGAAAATTGGCATCTATAATTCAAATCACATCGATATCATATAGTTGCAGACCGGTGGGGCGGGTGAGCCGCGCCGCGTGTGACTCGGCTGTGACGCGACTGTCATCGCTGCCGCGTCACAGCCGAGTCACACGCAGCGCGGCTCACCCGCCCCACCGGTCTGCAATGATGAGGACTGTATATACATCAGAACTATACTCAGAAAATTGGCATCTATAATTCAAATCACACTGATGCATAGAAGGGTGTTCAATGATATTATGTTTTGTTTCAAGATACTGAAAGGAGAGCTTAGGTTGAAACCCAGTAAATACTGGGTGTTCAGACCGACAAATGGTCGCACCTCCTCGTTGTCCTTACAATGTCCTAAACTGTGCAAGGGCCACCGAACCAGAGTTTTCAACTCACTGTTTTTCCGTGGAGTATTTTACTTCCATCAGACCTGCTGGAGGCGCCTAACACCTACACGTTCAGAAAGAGACTAAAGAAGGTCGATCTGATGACCTTGCTAAGCATTCAGGATTCCTGAATCCAGTAGTTTAGTGAAGTCTTTCCTCGGTTGCTTTGTGTTACCGAATTTTGTTTTTGTTTTTTTTTATGGTAATCGTATTTTTGGTTGTTCTATGACTCTAAGCCTATCGCTTGCACTGCTTAGCGCACCTATGCGTGCATGATAAATAAATAAATAAATAAATATGGCAACCTTGCTTCTTCACTTATCCTGATGTTACCGTGGCCGGGAAGCATCTGTTTGGGCCACTCAAATTACGGCCACCGCCTCGTCAGAGGTGTGAGTGGAACATCGAGTTCTCTTCGGGTTCATCCTGGATGTGGAGCCACCTCTGACATCACTACTGCAATATGTATTGCATGATATCTGGTGTGCTTCAATTTAGCCATGATTCACTTCAAACTTTTTTCTTTGCAGAAGGGCACATTCCTTAAATGTAATAAAATAACAAATAAAATATTTACTTATTACTTCAGCATGGCATCCAATGTGTTCCAGTCAGTTTAACCTCAGTGCGAAATCTAGGTCAATCAACGTTCCTTTAATGCGTCGAGCCCATCTGTAGTTTCTACCATGTTCCTTTTACAGTGTATTTTTTTCTATAGTTTTTATGGCACACCTCGAGTGTATGGAAATAAATAAATAAATATGTCTGTGGTCCTCTAAATGCTATCACAGATGTGACGCTGTTACGTTGTATGTGACCAATCTGTTGTCTCTCTCTCTCATCTCCCAGCTCGTATTCCTTTTCTTCCACCCCCCCCCCTCCTCCTTTGGTTTCTCCCACGCGCGTAGCAATGTCTTGCTTTTGAGTACATTCCTCGTCCTGGGGTCCAATTCAGGGCGTGCTCAACACTTTCCACTCTTTTCTTCACTCACGAGTCTAATAGCGCACGCGAAGTGGCATACGATGCTCACAAATAGTCTTTTTGTGATGGATATAATGAAACTCTTTCCAGTCTTTTATTCCACTGACAACGTTTCGGGCCGTAAGCCCTTCTTCAGGTCTACAAACATCACCCCATATATATAATTCGCTTTGTCTGTTTGTTTGTTTGTGAGTTTGTAAGTTTGTAAGTTTGTTTGTCTGTCCGGAAATTCGGTTCGACCTGAAGAACGACTTGGAGAGGTCCGGTCAAGGTGGGGATGGGTAGGGCATGGGACAAGAAATAAAAAGCACACTTGACCTATGGGAAGCCCCGCCCACAGTGGGCGGGGCACTCGCCGAAAGTTTGGGGTTCCGCAGAAAAATGTTCATAATTCGCTTCCGGAGCAGCTTAAAGATGGGGAAAAAGGGACTAAGGTTAGTAAGGAGTCGCCAGACTAACTGTGGCAGGTACACCCTAAATGGGCGGGGCGTACTCAAGGTGGGCGGTGCTTCTCGCAAAATTCAGTAACCCGGTTCGCGAGAGTGTTTGGAAGTCGCAAAAAACTCAGTGTAGAATGTAAATATCCGGCGAATATAGGGCACGCTCAAAGTGTGTTGAGACCCGCCCACAGTGGGCGGAGCTTGCCCTAAATCGCAGGGTATTCATTTTAAAAGTTTGTAGCTCGGTTCCAGAACACTCCAGATACCGGAAAAAAGTGGATTAAGTTCAGCAGAGGGTCGTCGGTTAAGATTGTGGGGCAAAAAAATTGTGGGCGGAGCCGGACAAAAATTCTCTAGAACGGTTCCAGAACACACCACACACCGGAAAAAAGTGGATTAAGGTCAGCAGAGGGTCGTCGGTGAGGATTGTGGGGCAAAAACATTGTGGGCGGAGCCAGAAAAGGGTCTGTAAAACGGTTCCAGAACACTCCAGACACCGGAAAAAAGTGGATTAAGTTCAGCAGAGGGTCGTCGGTGAAGAATGTGGGGCACAAAAATTGGGGGCGGAGTCTGCCTCGAGGTGGGCGGAGCCGGACAAAAATTCTCTAGAACGGTTCCAGAACACACCACACACCGGAAAAAAGTGGATTAAGGTCAGCAGAGGGTCGTCGGTGAGGATTGTGGGGCAAAAAAATTGTGGGCGGAGCCAGACAAAAAGGGTCTGTAAAACGGTTCCAGAACACTCCAGACACCGGAAAAAAGTGGATTAAGTTCAGCAGAGGGTCGTCGGTGAAGAATGTGGGGCACAAAAATTGGGGGCGGAGTCTGCCTCGAGGTGGGCGGAGCCGGACAAAAATTCTCTAGAACGGTTCCAGAACACACCACACACCGGAAAAAAGTGGATTAAGGTCAGCAGAGGGTCGTCGGTGAGGATTGTGGGGCAAAAACATTGTGGGCGGAGCCAGACAAAAAGGTCTGTAAAACGGTTCCAGAACACTCCAGACACCGGAAAAAAGTGGATTAAGGTCAGCAGAGGGTCGTCGGTGAAGAATGTGGGGCCTTTTTGGATTTCTTGTTATGTATGTGTAGTAATTAGATGATGTTGGTGTAAGCGATATGAAAGATGTTTGTAGACCTGAAGAAGGGCTTACGGCCCGAAACGTTGTCAGTGGAATAAAAGACTGGAAAGAGTTTCATTATATCCACCACAAAGAAAACTTATGAAACAATGAAGCTCAGGAACCCTGATATTGCTCACAAATAGTATTCGCGGTGTCTTCAAAGTTCAGTTTGTCAGAGCTGTCAGAGGGTGGTCTAGATTCGTTAGCTAAAAAGTCCACTCGAAATATAACAAAGTCATAATGTAAATGTACCGTGGTGTCCGAAGTAAGTGACAGCCGTGCCGAGATAAGCGCCGATGAGTTGGGCTATCGAATATAACACGACTTTCCACCCAGGTATGTTACCGAGTATACACTGAGCAACGGATATGGCCGGATTCAAATGAGCACCTAAAACTCTGACTATTATAGTTTTGGCTTTTCTGACTGCTGCGCTGAAACTAGTCTGATATTCGTGATCACAAACGTTGATTACCCTCATATGTAAGTTTATAATGAGTCTGTGGAAAGCTGTGGCGTCATGGTGGCACGGACACCGTTTCGCACGCTAGTGCCAAAAAGGATAGTCATATTGGTGTCCAGGGTTTAGAGCAGGTATTAACAACCAACCGCTCCCCCATCTGGGTATAATTACGTCCTAGGCTGAACTACCTTTGGCGAACCGGCTACACTTGGAGTACATTCGGACTCCGCCCTGACGACGAGCGTGAATGGACTTTGGAGTAGATTTACTCTTACTAGAAACCTATCGCTGATGCTGGTTGGATTTTCAATGGAATTCTGTATGTTTTTAAAAAATGATTAACTAATTGATGAAATACCTGAAACACTTGCTGCAAGGTAGACAGCAAACATAAATCCAATACCCCAAGCTATGTGAGCTGATGTCGAATTTCCACCAACAGCAACGGCTGCTTGAACATTGGCAGCGGTACCGATCAGCTTAATAATTTTAGCTCTGTAATGATTTGTTGCGATTAAAGAAGTTACTCACCAGTAGAAAGAAGGTGCCGATACATTCTGCAAGCAACTCTCGAATGAGTTTATTATCTTCAATTCGGAGTGTGTTACTGATACGATCCCGTAATTCTTCCATTTCTGAACCTTTGGACATTTCTTTAGATAGCCATATTAGACTGCAACGGTCACGGGCGAGATAAACGACCAACGAAACGAACAGAGAGACTAACATTATCAATCCACATTACTTCAGAAATGTGGAGTATCACAATTGCAGTTAACAGTAAAATATCTTGCGCCTATCGAAAGAGTAGTGCGTCGTGAGTAGGAGACATCACCTCGGACGGGACATGAACCCATAAATCACACTTCCAAAGCGATTGCACCCATCGTCCGGCTGAAAAGGCGGAAGTTGGCCTCGGAGGTTCAAAGGATAGCGCGATCACTTGGCGAGCGTGAGATGCGGGTTCACGTCAGTCGTCAGCCCTGAGGTGAAATTTTTGGCTCATATCTCAACATTTTTGCGATAAATCTAGGAATGTGAACTTTGCCTTGCAAAGCAATAATTATAAGAACAGGATCGGATAAGCAGAACAAGAAGTTCAATAATATACTGCCCGCTCATCCAGACAGCTCTGTTGTAATCTTGCAATATTTTGCAGTACATACATTTATGGGTGAGGTAAGAGGAATGACAGATCCGTTTTCTAAGTAGGCTATGCTCGATGGTTGCCTGAAATCGCTACTGCTATCAAAGACAAAGTTGATAATGGCGGCCTTGGTGTTACCAGTCGGATCTGTGGTATTCAGACTTTCCAGGTTTTTCATATCT